TTTTTCGCTGCTCCAATATGAAGTTCAAATGACTGCCGAAACGCGCACATACTTTCCCGTCATCTCACCTTAGCTTCCTGAAACATCAAAGCTGTGGTAAGACCATCGTCTGGAAAGATAACGCGTCCGTCACGCAAGTAGTTTAGGATGTACTTGAAAACAGTAGGGTCACGGTCAATAAAGACCTCACCGTTCTGAAATTTGTAAGACTGAATTACCGCAGATACCTTAGTCTTACTTACTGCTAAATCCATACTGACGAAGATACTATTCTCAGCAGCAGCAGAATTTCTCAAGGTGTCAACTGTAGTGTAGAATTTTGTGCCGCCAACATTAAGAACCACGGGAATCTGAGACAACGCCGACATTGCGAAGACGAAAAGCTCGGAGAAACTGAGCTGGTGTTCTCATTTTATCAGCAGCTTCGATTTCTATGGAAACGGCGACACGTGTGCGTTTCTGGGTTGGCTGGTGTTGAAATTCTGCTTCGATGGCGATGCAAAGTAAGACATATGTGACTCACTGAGTTCGCAAAAAACTTTAGCTGCTGCAGAGCAATCACTACATTGAAAGTTTTTGAAAATACAAAGGCAACGGTTGGAAAATTTATATCACAATTTTTCAATACATTACACACACCTTCATGCCAGATACTTAGCAAAACATAACTTAATCAAAATCTACCTTGATAAAAACCCATGCAAGAGAAATTTTGGTTTCACATGAGCTCAATATAAAGGGGACAAAACTAATTATGTACAAATGTGGAATATACCAAAAAATCAACATTACATTACGTAGAGGTAAATTTTCTTTTGGAAGGGAAATGAGAACTGCTTACATTACAGTCAGTCAAGAAATGACACACATCAACAATCATTCACAGACGAACATGAAACAAAAGTAAAGAAGATGAAAGTATATTATATGATGAATGGAATCACGCTGCAAGCAATTATAGTTTGTTGGTTCATTGACTCAACAGAAATTCACCTGGATAGGCAGAGAACGCTCGGCTTTTGCTGATCAGCTGATTTATAGCACGAAAGTCCTAAAAAATAGGATGCTGGCATAAACGATCCAAAATGCAAGAGAGAGAGAGAGAATTAAAGATTTGAGCTTGCCTTGCTTGGACTCTGTGTGATCTTGTATCTTATTGTAGTAGGTTCAGATCGCGGAAGCAGCGGTGTTGGAGCGTAGGCCATTACCGATACCTGCATACGGTAATTACTAGCGCATGGAAGTGATATGAAAAAAACCTCACCTTATCCGACAAATTTCTTTTCAGAGGTGTGCCTCTAGGTATTCGTCGTATAGGCATTGGTGTCAAGCTAGCCAAAGGACAATTTTCACCAATCTTCTTCATGAAATCCTCAACTCTAAAAATCCGCATTTTGAACGATCGCAAAGCTCTTCATAATATCTGCTCCAAGACGAAAGCGGTGCCCAAATAGAATGAAAGCAAACAGGGCTGGCGCACACGCGGCGCGAGGGCAACTGTCAACCAT